CAGGGTCCAGTCATCACCTTGCAAGTTGAATTTAGTGGACCCTTTTCTCTCTGAGCTCATTTTAGCTCTGAGGGTCATTTGACCCAGAGGACTACCCTGCTTTTATTTTGGAATACACTTTTTTAACTCCACACTCTCCTATATTGTTTTCCACATCACTGGCTGCTTCTTCTCGGTCTCCTTTATGGACTTCATATTCTTTATCTTATATATAAAGATGTAGTTCCTGCCTAGAGGACTACAACTCATCTTTCAGGTTTTAAGCTTTAAATATAATTTTCTCACAGTATATTGGAGGCCAGACTAGCTTAGGTGATTAAGTGATATGTTCTTATTATACATACACATTGTGTTTTAATTTCCTAACGTGTCACATATGACAAATTATTTTGTGTGTAATTTTTTTGTTCAGTGTCTTTATCCTCTTCTGGATTGTCTGTAGAGCCCATCATGTATCCTATATGTTTTTTACAGAGCCTGGAATGTAGCAGATGCCAATATTTGCAGAACGAATGAATTCTGCATTCATTTTCAGAATGTAGGATTCAACAAATGTTAGTTCTCTTTTCCTTTCCCATCTCATATTTACAGAAGCATAGATATACCAGAGTTGTGGAGTCAGAGGACACCACTATCATTTCTATAGAAGAAAGACAAATTCATGGTGTAATGGATGTTACCAGATGTTAAAAATTGTGGAACTCCTCACAAACCCCTCTTACAGGCAGTTGGAAATATCGATCTAGATCTCAGTAAAGAAGTCATGGTGAAGGACATGGATCTTCAAATTATAAAATTTTATTTTTTATATCTTTTAAAATGTGTTGTGTTTTGCTCCCGTGTGTTTTAAAATAGAGGAAAAGAGGGCGAGTGGGTTTCAGGGGTCAAATGCCAGGGAATAAGACATACAGTGCATCTGGTAAAAATTAAAATGATTTAAATTCTGATCTGATTAGAAAGGGTCAGTCTTGAAAAAGTTATAAAGGAAATTGTAACACAAATACAATTGTATGTACTTCTCTCCTTCTCCCTACTTTTTGACAACAAATCCTGAGCACAGATCTAAGGATATTTTTTTCCTAGAAAAAATAGAAAAATATCCACTCAAACATAGTAGTCCTCCAAAGTTATGCTACATGAAAGGTTATGGGAGTTTGAGGAGCTGATGAAGTTAATTATAGTCTTACAGCCCTGGATAAGACCCAAAAGCATTCCATTTCAAACAAAGGTCAGGGATAGTTAGAAAGTTTTATCACACTTAAGCTTGAACTCAAACAAGGTTGCATTAAATAGGGACAGTCCAGTGAGTATCATATTTCATAACTGGATCAGGTACTTAGATTTCTTTAGATCTTCTGAAATCATATCAAAAATAGTAGTATCCTTATGTTTTTTAAAAATAAGGTGAGCATATTTGTATGAGCAAAGCTTTGAATAAAGAAGGCTAAGATTCTTTTCTCCTCTGAACTATTTTTATTTTCATAAGAAGCCACTGTGAGGCAGCAAGACTGTTCACCACTAGGGCACTATGTGTATCATGGGACATTTGCCCTGAGTTACCGACCAAGTTCTGCAAAGTACTGGGCATGTTAACTTTGCAAATTCAGCTTTCTACTACAGTGATAGACTAACGTTTGTACTAGGATAATAAACAGTCTCCAGGTTCATTAGCAGATATGTAGGAGATCATTGATATTAGAGAGTAGCTAGAAGCAGCAAGAAAGAGATGTGGAGGGAATATGAGAAAGAACTGAGCCGAAAACAGTTTCCTGTCCTTTCTATGGCTGCTCATAAGATGCAGCACTGCACTGTGTCCCGCATTTAAAGGTGCTGTATTAATTCCAGGCTTTGAGGTAAATGAATTATTAATGTTAAAACTGCCCATGTTTGAAGATCTCGTCATTTCTTAGCCTATTTTGTCAAAACCAACTCCTTTAACTTAAAAAAAATTTTTTTTTTCCTCAGATAAAGCACCAAGGCAGACTAATTCATTTGTAAGCTTTTCTCCTCAACAGTGGAATAAAGAAAAATCAATATCTGATGGTTTTTGTGTAAAGTTCAGTAAATAATAGATTTCATTTTTCTACTCTAAAAGCCAAAACTTAAAAAGCTTGTGCCTTTAGGAAATTGGGAGAGGAAGACTAGTAGCAATTAAACTAGAAATGATAGTAATGCTACAGCCCCCCCCCAAAGTCTCAGTATCAAGAAATCAACTATTGGTAATAAAAATAAACTGTTACATCTGATTTAGGGTAGCAGGCATAAAAAAAGGTGACAACTAATGCATGCAACGAATCTCTGTATGATTCTTCACAATTTCAGTTTTTGGGCTTTTGGGGATGTATATGTCGATGTGTGTAAACATAATTTACATGTGGAGTAATGTTTCAGATCTATTGATCTAAGATACACTTTTCATGAATAACCTAAGATCTGAATGTTCGGGTTGAGTAAGCATAAATAAGTGAGACAAGGTTCTTTCATATTTGAGTTTTGTGGGTATAAAACTCAAATTCTCATTATTCTGTTGTTTTATGAAGCTACTTGAACTAGACAGATAATTTGCTTATGGCAAGAGTTAGGGATTGAGACATTGTCCCATATAATTACTATGGCATTGTCACCTTGGAGACCAGCAGAAATAAGAATTATATGGCGGATGAGCAAAATTTAGTTCCAAGAATATTTGCTTAGCTCATTAGCTATTAGGTAATAGTCAAGCTATGTATATGTAGGGGCATGCATAGCTTTGTAAATACCCACTTGAAATATTACTAAATCACTAAATCACTTTAATATAATTTTTAAAAATCCCTGCCTAGAAAGTTTTAAGGAATCTATTTGTTTATGCTCCAAGCAGATATGTAAGTAAAAACATCCACTTAGACTCAATTCAGTGACAGTTGCTATAATTTTTGCCTAAATTTTTTATTTGATTGTATGCAAATTTCTGAAGAATTACAAATGTGTAGATAATTTATTTATATGCATTATTTTTGGTAGATATCTATTTTTGTAGAAAAATCACAAGTCTATATATATATGGATGAAGATAATTTATAAATCTAATACCATAGCATTTGTTTCTTCAGAAATACTCTCATCTCAAGAATATCTCTATAAAAATACATATAACATTTTAATACAAAATAAAATACTGTAAAAAAGCCAAAAACTAGGTAACTTTTAATTCTCTTTTAAATGAGAATACAATCAGTATGCTAATAAAGTTATTTTTGGAGTAGTTTTTTTTCAAAATAGCAATGAGCACTAATGTTACTCATTGTTTATTGGGCTGAGATCTTCACCGAAATTGTATGCTAAAAATGATCAGCAGAACAAGGGAAGGAGCTGTGTGTATCATTGAGGAATTCTCATTTCTGTCATGGGCAAGAGCAACAGTTGCTGCTGCTACCATCCCCAATAGAGATACTTATTTCTCTGGCAGGAGGGGTGATACTCCTGCTACTTTAAAGTACGTTATTGACAAGGTCAACTGGAAGTAAAATTTATTTTCATTAGAAAATACAGGTGGTCAAGAAAAGCTTCTGCCTTTTATTCTCCATGTTAACAAAAAACAACTTTTTTTTTTTTTGAGACAGGGTCTCACTGTCACCCAGGTTGAAGTGCAATGGCGTGGTCTTGGCTCACTGCAGTCTTGACCTCCAGGGCTCAAGTGATCCTCCCAAATCAGCCTCCCAAATAGCTGAAACTATAGGCACACGCCACCACACCAGCTGATTTTTTTTTTTTTTTTTTTTTTTTTTTTTTGTAGAGATGGGGTTTTGCCACATTGCCCAGACTGGTCTTTAACTCCTGGGCTCAATTTTTTTTTCCCTCACCTATCGCCTCACCCTGCTGGCCTCCCAAATTAAGTGCTGGGATTACAGGCATGAGCCCTTGTGTCCAGCCATAAAACACCTTTTAAGCAAAAATTTTTTTGTTGATGTTCTTTCTCTAATTTATGTGTTCTTATTTCCTTTTTCTGTGCCAGAAGAGAAGCACATACTATTTGATTTTTAATGAAGCTTTCTCAGGAGCATTATTTAAAGAAATCTTTACATATAATTAAATATTTTTAAGATAATTGTGTATTTTTTCTACTTTTATATTGACATTAATTCCTGACAATTTACTATGCTTATGGTGTATATTTATATCTTATCTAAGTAATCTCAGCTGTGTGGCTCTTCTATAAAACGTATAATAATCTACTCTCCAAGATGTCAAGTGAATCTATCCTTAGAGAAAACATTTTGAGATAATTAGAATTGTTATTATTATGATGGCAAAAACCACAATTACTTCTGCACTAACCTAATAGATACATAAAATGTGCATTCTGGTCACTACTCACCAAATATTTTTAAAACATGAAATTTCTCTTTTCAAAATATGTAGATAATAATTTACTCCAACAAGCACAAGAATACCATTAAGTTGAATGGTGGCTATTATACCCTATAGAAGGGGCTCACTGCCCCCCTTAAGAATCTCACCAAGTTCACTGGGTTGTAATAACGCTTGCTTATCTCCTCGAGTTGCTTTGAGATCTCGGAACTAATATTAGGAGGAGTGCTGTGACGTCTGTTAAAAGTCTATGAACATGAGGTGGTAGTCCTCAGGGTAAACCAGAGACCTGAGCATAGGCAGAAAATTGCCTCCCAGTTGGCATTCATGATGTTAATATTTCCATAATCATGAAGCACACCTCTTTCAGGATTAAGGGATCATGCTCTTCTCATGAATGGGGGTGAACAGCATTTCCTCAAGGTTTGGGTGGTTTGTTGAGAATGGAAACGATGCACGTACTGACATTGAATAAGAGGCCATGTGGCTAGAATAAATATGAATGTACTTCCAGGAGAAAAATATCAGACACACAGAATTGACAAGAGCTTTCTCACCACCAAACTGAGATCTAGTCTCAGCAAAAAACGTGAGTAAACAAAAGAAAGCTAATATTGGAAATGTGCTTATAACTAAACTGTGTTTTTCAGAACGCTGTAAATGTAAGCCTATTAGAGCTACACAGAAGACCTATTTCCGGAACAATTACAACTATGGTAAGGAAAACTTCATGGTTGATTTATAAACTGCTGTGTTAAGGTGTGTGGATGCACCCATGAATATGTGCACATGTAAATAAGTAGAGCCATTTAAGAATAAGGCTTAAAAACCAAAGACAACTTCTAGGAGCGTTGTCCCTCTGCCCCAACCAATTAACACGTCTCCCACGGGCAAAACGCTTAACACATGGTTAATGTTGAAGCATACCAAGCAGACATGGTTGATGTTAAAGCACACCAGGCAGTATTGTTGTAGAGCCATGCACGTAAGTACACAGAGATAAGTATCAAGATGCATGGGACTCTTCCCTACCTGGAGGCTTAGGAGGATTTGAGCTCAAATTGGGTTGCATAGGCCATCAGTTGTGCTTAACTGGGTGAACAGAAGAGCACTTTGATGCATAAAGGAACTGTTAAAAGACTCAAACTTGGTTTTGTCAGTCAGCCTATCCCATGCAAAACACAGATAGATTTGGAAAGCAACACTTGTAGTAGTTGTTGGTATTCAGCTAAAGAAATGTGTTGTATCTAGCTTGACTTAAAATCTGACATTCTAATAAACTAAATATTAATTGAAGAGCTACCAATCCAAATGTAGCTGACAAACTTAACTGAAGGATTAAAAAGCCTGCCATTTTTGCCCTATGTGCTAAGTGATTTCTATGCATTATCTTTAATTTTCTCAGCTGCCCCATGAGACATATTACCATACTGATTTTATCAATGATTATTGAATCTAAATTGTGCCTTCTTTGATTGTTCACAATGTACTTTTGGATGCTGGTATATATTTTAGAGTCATAAATTTATTTATACAGTCATTATATTTAGAAATGGCAATTAACAGAGTTTTCCAGTTGAAACATAAGGAACTAACTGGTATTTACTGTATTCCCTAGGCATTTTTATTTTTTCTAATATCTATGGTATTAGTGAAAGGTGTGTTACTGTCTCTGCATAAGACTCTTGATGTTGAGTCAATGAGTAAACATAGCAATTAAACAGACTTTTAAAGTGAACCTTATTAAAATAAGAGTTTTATTATTGCATTTATGTGCACTATTTAAAGGTATATATGATATATAGAGCAGATTTATTTCTTCTATACTTTTGGGAGTTGGAAGGAGAGAAATGAATAAGACTGTAAGAGTTATCAATATCTTTCAAAATGCAGTGTATTAAAAAATATGCAGTTGAAAATTTTTGGTTTAGTTAAATCTCTTTAAAACAGATCCACCCTGTTTCCCAAGTTTTTCTTCAATGGAATTTTATGTTTTGCTTGCTACTCATCTTAAGAGGAATGTAGTCAATGATGGATGCTCAGTCATCATTGACTCAGTCATTGATGATGCTCAGTCATTTTCTTAGTCAATGATGGATGCTCAGAAGTTTGTAAGGTTATGTTTATCTAAGAAGTCAAATGCCTGGTTGCTTTATCTAGGAACCCATTTCTTTACAGATTGATGTGAAGAACCCTAGGGTAAAAAGAGGCCTTAATTTCTAGGAGATTAGCTTCTTAAGATTGAAAAATGCTATATAAACTTTTAAATACTGTAATGCTAACAATAAAAACATATAAATCTTATATCAGGGAAATGTAATTATTTATTTTACTTATCCTATGTTCAAGTTTTATTTTATCTGAGCTTCTTTAGTGCTACAATAGTTGTTGCTGTTATTTTTGTTAAAAGTTGAAAGACAAGTCATGGACTCAAAGGGTTGGAGAAAAATTTACCAACCAAATGAAGAGCAAAAATAAATAAATAAACAACAAGCAGGAGTTGCAATTCTCACATATGATAAAATAGATTTCAAAGCAACAAAGAAACAGTGGTAAAAGGATCAATGCAACAATAAGAGATCTTAATACCCAGATACATAAGACCCATAACGAGATTTAGACTCAACGAGACAGAAAATTAATAAGGATATCCAGGACTTCAACTCAGATCCGGAACAAGTAAACTCAATAAATATTTATAGAGTTCTCCATTTTAAATACACAAAATATTGATCGGCCATTATTAATACCCATTTTTAGAATGAAGCAATATTCCTATTCTCTCTCCCTCTTTTTCTTCCTCTTTCTTCCTCTCCTTCTCTCCTTTTTTTACTTTTCAACATCCCAGTTCCTCACCTCTACTCAATACATTCCTCTGAACACCTGATTCCTTGTGATTCTCCTGTCCCACTGAAACCTCCAAAAAAAAAAAAAGATTATTGAAGAGAAGTAGTAATCTTTCCCTTGAGTTACTAAAGAGCGGAAGATATCAATCCCAGCAGTGCAGGATATAAGCTTCAAATATACCAAGGCAGATGAAGTTGGCTTTCTAAGTAGGGGACTCGTTCTCATTTTCATTACTGAAGGTGTACTTAGCGTCACCACTTAGTACTGGTCATAAACTCTTTCATATAGCAAATAGTGGTCGAAAGTCCCTTGGTGGGTTGCCACATGACAAGAACAAAGAAACTCCTTAAGTGGTCTGAGCCCTGTATAGCATTACCACTTATTAAAGATGCAGCTTCTCTTTTTGATCCTTGAAGTGATGGGGAAATAAATGAAACAAAAAAAAAAAAAAGAGAGAAATATATAAGCATTTCCATTTTCACTAAAAAAAAAAAAAAGACAAGTCATGGAAAGTGAAGGTTTTAGAGATGGTAGCTGAATGAATATCATAAAATAAAATGGGATATGGATCATTATTAGTGAAAGGAGCGGATAATTTCTTTTTTGTAGCCAAGTAATATAGCTCAGTTGATCATAGTTTCAAGGTTGTCATCTGTCTGGGATTTACTTACAGTTTCTTTGGGAAAGGGAGGCACTCAAATGATTAAATAGAAGAAAGAATTCTGAAAGGAAATATATTTTACTTGCAAAATATTTTTATTTTTTATCTTCTATATCTGCATGTGTCTACTGAAAACAAAGTCAAGGTGGGAGCTATTGGAAATTCAGACAAAACCTCTATTTCATTCGGATTAATTCTGTGAAAAACTCCTTAAGTGTTAACAAAATTACTTGAGTGGAAAAGTAGGTCTTGTAGAAAGATATTTATTTTGGAATGGGTGCATGTGCTAAAAATTTCTAATGAAAATAGTAGACACTGGATAAATAAATCATTAGTTTGAGAACATTTGCACAGTTCACTAATCTCTAATAGTTGATGGATGCTATGAAGCACGTAGACTTAAGCCAGGTCACACAAAACTGCCTGTTAGTTGGGGTTGAGAATTTCTCATCTGATTCTCCCAAATGGCATTTCAAAAAGGGCAATCTTATCTTTTGTTAAATACAGAATAGGGAGAACATGAATAGTCAGGGACTCCACTTGCCAGTTGAACCAAGCGAGGACAGTTGGGTACACCTTTTGTTTGCTCCAAGTTCTCAAACTTGAGGCAACTAATTCTCTGAAGACTGAAATGTGAAGGTTTTAGAATTCATTAGTAACTTAATTTCTGTCATGTGTGTTGTACTGGTAGAATATTAAGTTTGTGTGATAAAATTGGAGTATTAATGGGGGGAATGGTTGATTAGCTGGTTTTATATTTTTCACAGGTTACTTTCTTCTAATCCTTTATAGTCCAAAACCTCTAAAATATGTGGGAAGATATTCAGATTAAAGTGGTTTGCAATTACATGTCTGAAAAGTTTTTGAAACCATAACACATTTGGGTAAACTGTGTTTTCCTCTATATAACGTCCATGGATATTGAACTGGAGCAATGAGGGTACTGGGAGAAATGCCACTGGCTTTTTACTAATTGACATTTTACTTCTTTCTTGGTGTTTTAAACTGCTCTTTTAAAAGCTCATTTACTAGAAGCAGGAATCTAAACAATTTGACTCTTAAAGGGGGGACACACAGAAAAGAAGCAGAACTATACTTTCTAGATTCTGAGTCAAATACTTTAACTTTGCAACTGAAGGCCATTTGTTGTTACATTGAGAAGTAAAGTGACTCTTGTGACATAAATTGGGTGCCAATATATCCACCGAGAGAGGTAGAATGATGCAATTGACGTTTAAGAATATATTCTGTAGCACATGACGGGAGGAGTGTTGGAGTGTCTGACTTCAAGGCAGATGGAGGAAATAAGGTCTAGTGGTGACAATTTATTCAAGAAGAAAATGTAGTCCATCTAGAGGAGAATATAAAAGATAATCTGCACTGAACACAAAGGAAGAAAGGACCTGATATCTGAACGAAGAAGAAAATGTAGCCCACATAAAGGAGAATATACAAGACAATCTGTACTAAACACAGAGAAAGAAAGAAGCTAATAACCGAACAGCAACCCAAGATGAGGCAGGTGAAAAGACTGCAGAACCCGTTTGGAAACATTATTGAGTAGGACAATTTTATAGAGGCCCACCACTTGAGAAAACCTATTAATAGACCTGATTTTAAAAATGATTAAAAAAATAAAAATAAAAATAGACCTGATAAAGGAATGCTGACAAGGAAAGAAAGCATATTTAAGTACTAGGTCTTTTCATATTGTGAAATTAACATAGTTTAAATTCCTGTTGGCAGCAATTGGAACTGCGCATGCATATATGTACACATCCAAAATGGAATTTTAGAGCAAAATCATATCCGATTATTGACTCAATCTTTGATTCTCTAAATGGATTTCTCAAAAGCACATGCACACACGTGCATATATACACACGAATATATGCGTAGCCACAAATTGTAGAGGGAGCAGGGTGGAGCATTAGGAAGTCATGTGTTGTTGTACGTCGCACACTGCAGTCTAAGGCGAAAATATCTGGCTGACTTTTCTGTTCCATTCGTTGAATATCAAGTGGATAAGAATTAACTGAAGAGAAGCCTATTTCGGCTTTTTTGAATGGGGTGCCTATTATGGGTCATATTGTTATCAGCTTTTCTTGTCTTTTATCCCAGTCATTCGGGCTAAAGTTAAAGAGATAAAGACAAAGTGCCATGATGTGACTGCAGTAGTGGAGGTGAAGGAGATTCTAAAGTCTTCTCTGGTAAACATTCCACGGGATACTGTCAACCTGTACACCAGCTCTGGCTGCCTCTGTCCTCCGCTTAATGTTAATGAGGAATACGTCATCATGGGCTATGAAGATGAGGAACGTTCCAGGTAATTCACTCATTAAGGATACAGAATAACTGCTTTGCTTATCCTACTCTCATTGCACTTCTGTCTAGAGATCTTACCCTCACATTCTTACCTTGGGATCTGTCCACTTTCTTGGGGATTACAGGTAAGTTTTAGTTGGAATCCTTGATTTCAAATGTGGAATGGGTGTATGTGTGTAGTTTATGGTTTGCATTTTTCCAAGGAGAGGGACCATAACTTCATTTGTTTCTTAAAGGGGCCTGTGACTCACAAATGGTTAATAATTACGGTTCTAAATCTTTACTGTCCTATTCAAGAATAAACATATAAGTCCTTCTTGGCACTGATTACTTATACTTTTCAGTAACAGGTTTAATTTTTCAAAAATGGTTGCTTCTTTTAAAAACGCAGATTACTCTTGGTGGAAGGCTCTATAGCGGAGAAATGGAAGGATCGTCTTGGTAAAAAAGTTAAGGTAAGCCTGTATTTTATGTTTGAAGTAATACACAGAAAATAAAAGTAGAAAACCAGCCATCTGTCATTAAAATGAAAGAGCTTCCTTCAACTATATGAGAAACACTAAAATTTAGTATGCATATATTTATATATTCCAAGAGCTGAATTTATCTTTGATGTCTATTTCATTTAAGGAATGAATTCCCTGTAGTGTATCAAAGCTCTAACTACAGTTGCCCTAATTTCTCTTCACAAGGAGTCTAGCTGTAGTCCAGTCCTGGCAGGGTGGTTCCACGTTGTCAGGCTTCTTCTAGCTTATTGCTCTACCTTTTTTCTTTTTTTTTGAGAAGGAGTTTCACTCTTGTTGCCCAGGCTGGAGTGCAACCTCTGCCTCCTGGGTTCAAGCGATTCTCCTGCCTCAGCCTCCTGAGTAGCTGGGATTACAGGCATGTGCCACTACATCTGGCTTAGTTTGTATTTTTAGTAGAGACGGGGTTTCTCCATGTTAGTCAGGCTGGGCTCAAACTCCTGACCTCTGGTGATCTGCCTGCCTTAGCCTCCCAAAATGCTGGGGTTACAGGCCTGAGCCACCTCAACCAGCTGCTCTGCCATTTTTAAAGGCATTGCTTCTATACTTAGGCTCACCTGGAGGTCACAATATGGCTGCTGCGCCTCTACTATCATGTCTACATTTCAGGCAGAAAAAGAAGAGGTAAAAGGGATTTCCAAGAGTCTCATCAAGCAACTTTTACTTAGCTGCAAAACAGCCTAGGAAATGTAGTCTATTTAAATCTAGGGATATTGCTTCCCTGAACAAATTGCAGTTTGTGAGAAGGGGAGAATAAATTATGGGTAAGAAAATAAACAGTGATATCCAATGAATAAACACCAATTCCTATGTACAAAGCGTAGCTACATTCATCTATATGTAAGAGAACTGAACAAATTAGGTCCTTAGAGCAGTAATTTTGCCTTATTTTTAAGTCAATAGGTCTCAGATTGTGGAATGGATACATTTTTAAAAATCACATAGTACATGACTGTATTAGAGAAGGTTTTGTTTCTTCTTACTGCACTAGGCAAATCTGTTTCAAAGAAAAGAATGGGGTGGGGGAATGTATAGGTTGACAAAAAAAAATCTCAAAGGATGTATGGGTGGGTGGGGGGAGTGGGAACTATACCAAACATAATACATCCTCTTTCATCTGCAAGTTTGAAGGCTTGGGAAACATTTACATCGTAAGTTAAACACCCCTGGGCGGTTTATCTTATACATCTGGCACTTGACACAGCAGACACATTTGGGTTTAAATGACCTACAAAAATGTAGAGGGCATTATTTTGTAAGGAGAAACTACCCTCCAGTAAGTTCTGCCCCCTTTCAGTAGATATGGCAAAAGTGAGATGCATTTCAAGTTTAGACTTGTGGGCATTCTCTCTGCATCTCTCTTCAATTAGTTTGTTGTTTAGTAAAGAAAAAAGTGGCTCTTGTTCAGTATGTTGGAATCTCTTACTGTCTTTTTAATTTGGTTTTCTGCTTGCTAATGCAGAACAGGAATTTGTCCTAAATTCCTGTACCAGTTGGAAGAGCTTTCAATATCCCTGCTGCAAAACATGTAACAAGGCTTACTGCTCCTCTTTTGGTACCAAAACAGTATCATTGTGTTGTTGACAGGACATGTGGCTTGTTTGTCCTGTTTTCCATTGCTTTCTGAGTATTTCCCATTCCTTTATGCAGGGGACTTGCAGAGTTATTGTGAGGTCATTTATATTCTCAGTCTGGATCTAAATACTCTAAAGGAAAAAAACCAATAATTTGAACAATTTTAAATTCATTTGCAGATATTGAGGGCTAAAGAATTTGAGTAGAAAATCTCCTTTGGCCAAAATTATTGAGATCCATGTTTTAGTTTTCCAGTCAATTTGAAGATGTATAAAAAAAGTTTTATGGAGGATGTTAGTTTTTAATCAGATTTTCTCTTAGCTGAGTTTTGCTCTCAGTGGCTCAATCAAGAATTGTATAAGAAACCTTATTTTTTTTTTTTTCATGGAAATGGTTGTTTACCTAAGTCTCTTATAGCAAACTATTCAAGATGTTTGGACTTCCTTGGGAAGTTGAGAATCAGACTGTTTATAAAATAGGAAAACAAGATTGTGGAGTAAAGTATACTAAAATGAAGAATGACTTTCAGTAATAGAAAAACAATAACTAATTTACTATATGCTAAGCACTTTGTATATATTTTTATCAATCTTCAGATGAATCTACTTCTTATAAGTAGATTCTATTATCTGTTCCAACATACAAATGATGAAAATGAAGTCTAGTAAATTCAAGAAACTTCATACGGTAAGTGGGGGAGTTAGAATTTGAACTTGGGCCACGTGACCCAAGGATCTGATGATCCTTGCTATTTAAAATGTGGTCCCTGGACCAGCAACTTAGGTATCACCTGGGAGCTTGTTAGTAATGAAAATCTTGGGCCCTGTCTCAGACCTACTGAATGAAAATTGGCAATTTTAACAAATTCCCCATGCGATATCCATGTTTGAAGCTTGGGAAGTACAGCTGTAGTTCATATTCCCTACCTATCCTCATGTCATATAACTTCCGTTTAACTTAAATTATGTGTAAATATTGACATTATCAATATGAACTATTACTAAACTTGATTGTGGTTAATAAAAGCATTGCTAATGCCTGCTTTGTAAAACTTAGAATGAAGGCAGGACCTTGTCTGTTTTGTTTGTTGTACTTGGTGGATATTACTTAGAAAAATATTTTTGAGACCGCCCCCCAATCCCTCAAAAAAGTTTTTATTTTTTTTCCTTGTTCAAATCACATAGATTTTAAAAGGCTATGTTCTGATGTGTCTTAAGAGAGGATGTTGAAAAAATAGCCTTTCCTTCAAATTCTGTGTGTAAATCTTCCATTTGTTGAGTACCTGTGAAGCACTAGCTTTCTGTGTGTTACCTCAGGAAATACCCAGAGGCACAGAGAGATACTTCCATCATCATTTACAGACATGGAAATTTTAAGTTCAAGGTTTGATAAGAAAGCATTATTAAATATAATATAGATGGGCAACTTTGTGCTTGCTAAAATCAGAGAATAATGTTCATATTACATCAGTTTTCTTGTTACCCTGGGAAATAGATTTGTACTTTTGGAAAAGTAGTAAAATGCTTTAGAGAGCTGACCTTGTGTTCTGACCCAGTTGTTAGAATCACAGAAATGATGACGCTAGTGATATGTACTTGTGACTATTTTCTATTTTAAATTTCACAGCGCTGGGATATGAAGCTTCGTCATCTTGAACTCAGTAAAAGTGATTCCAGCAATAGTGATTCCACTCAGAGTCAGAAGTCTGGCAGGAACTCGAACCCCCGGCAAGCACGCAACTAAATCCTGAAATAGAAAAAGTAACATCGGTGGACTTCCTATTAAGACTTACCTGCATTGCTGGAGTAGCAAAGGAAAATTGCACTATTGCACATCATATTCTATTGTTTACTACAAAATTCATTTGATGACTGATCATTACTTCTGTTTCTCTTTTGTTTTCTGCTTTTCTCTTCCCCCAACCCCTGTAAAGGTTTGGGGGCAGACTCTTAAATATATTGGGAGTTTTCTGTTTCACTAATCATAAGAAAAACTATTCTTTTGCAATAATAATAAATTAAACATGTTGATACCAGAGCTGCTTTGCTGGAGTCCCCAGATGATAATTTACTTTCTGCACCCCAATTGGGAATGCAATATTGGATACAAAGAGAGGTTTCTTTTATACTCAGAAAGCTAGATATGCTGTAAAACATACTCTGCCGATCTAATAACAGCCTTATTTTTATATGCCTTTTGGGCATTCTCCTCATGCTTAGAAAGTTCCAAATGTTAATAAAGGTAAAATGGCAGTTTGAAATCAAATGCCACATAGGCAAAGCAATCAAGCACCAGGGAGCATTTATGAGGAAACACGCAAGATGAATTATTTTGAGATTGGCAGGAAGCAAAATAAATAGTATTAGGAGCTAAAGAAAGAACATTTTGCCTGATTGAGAAGCACAACTGAAACCAGTAGCCGCTGGGGTGTTAATGGTAGCATTCTTCTTTTGGCAATACATTTGATTTTCTCATGAATATATTAATCAGCATTAGGGAAATGAATTATAACTAGACATCTGCTGTTATCACCATAGTTTTGTTTAATTTGCTTCCTTTTAAATAAACCCATTTGTGAAAGTCTTTTTCTTTTCCTCTTCTTTTAAAATAAATCTGAATTGCTGTATTGACCAGGAATAGATTATATGTGCACGTGCACCAGGGTGTTCGTTTTTAAAAGTACATAGCTCTCTAAAATGATGTAGATTACAAAATAATGAAATGTGCAAGGTTTTTTTTTTTCTGGTGTGTGTGTATCTGTATTTGTGTGCATGTGTATCTGTGCACTCACACGCAAGGTGGATTAAAATACAGGCCTGCAAACTGGCCTGCACTTTATCATTTGGATTTGTGCTGTTTAGTGCTCAGTAAAAAATGTCTAATAAAATGAATTATGGTTGTCAGGAGAGAGGTTATTTTGACTTTTGAACCAAATACACGTTTCTCATTACCCAAGCTGCAGTGAGATCCCAGGGGCTGTGGTGAACAAATGATGCTTTTATAGATGGTCCCTAGCTCACAATGATTCCATTTACAATGGTTCAATTTAACAATTTTTTGACTTAATATGGGTTTATCAGGATGTAACCCAATTCATTTCAACTTATGATATTTTCAATATAGAATGGGTTTATCCAGGTGTAACCCCTGGGTAAATGGAGGAGCATCTGCACTTCCTCCGGCGGAGTTCCTTAGAGCCTGTGCCAATTACTTGAAAGTTTCATTCTCTGCCATTTACATGTGTGCTATTAGTAAAACCAAATTTCTAAGCTGTTGAGTGCTGAAAATAAAACACTTATGAGGCAAAAATGGTGCTGTGTTTCCTTCTACAAGGATAATTATGCAAGGATGAAATTCATTCCTGAACAAGTTTCCTAAAATGGTAAATAATCATCTATCCAAATGATCTTTCTTAAAAGTGTGAGCTGGGTATGGTGGGTGCACCTATAATCCCCACAACTTGGGAGGCTAAGGAAGGAAGATGGCTAGAGCCCATGAGGTTGAAGCTGCAGTGAGATATGACTGTCCCCTGCACTCCAGCCTAGGCGATAGAGCATGACCTTGTCTCTGTAACAACAAAAGTGTGAAAGTTGATTCTACAGACTGAAGTCATGCATGTCATACCCAACCAAAATGCAGTCAGGAAGCCAAGGGGAGGGGCACCCAGGTCTCTTTTCAAGGAACTGTTTTTTTCAGTTCAGAAAAAAACACAAAGACTTAACTCTAAGTTAGAGTAGTAGTTGCTGTCACTCACTAATCAGAACTTGCTAGATCCTACAAGACCTCCTGGCTTCAGTAAACTTCCTTTCAAAGCAATTTAGATTACCTTCCTCTCTTCCCAGTAAAGACTCAGCCTTTCTCTTTGTTCTTTGAACACACCTAGAGGCTACACTGGTTTGTGTGCCCAGAATTACAATTCTAATTCTTGCATTCCCAAATAAACCCTTTACTTGTTGATTTCTCTTCCTAAATTTAAAGGTGACAGAGTAAGGGAATATTCCTGCCTTCTGATTGACTCTCCAAGGCCAACAATTTCCCCAGCCCCAGAAGAAAACATTCCCACCTTTGTCTATAGGACTGAATAGTCTTTTGGGCTCCAAAGACCACCTCCCAAGGGCTTGCCATCCACCCATTGTTGCTATATTCCCAGATGGTAAGGACATCTCTTTTGAGGTGCTGCTGTCATAGCCTTAAAACGTTGAGTTCAGTGTCACTGGGGAGTAATGAAGTGCCACCGTGGAGGGACTGTCCCTCAGAATCTCTCTTCCTGGTATGGAAACGGCACTTTGAGCCTGAGGACAGCAGGGTGTAAAGTAGTGCTGGTGTCTCAGCCTGATTTCCTCAGGCCTTCTCACGTTAACTCTGAAAAGAAGGACAATTGACTACAGGAGAGGTTTAAAAGAACTGTTATCTCAAATCCACAAACGTCAACTCTCTCAAAGCACTGTAAGCAATTCTAAGTGAGGAACTCTTTTGATGTATAATAAAAACTACAGAAGTTTCCAGCCTCTGCAGTTTTTTGGGGGTGGGTGGGTAGAGGGGGTATGATCAGTTTCTGTGTAGGAATTTGACACACTTTATGCTTAATATAAACAAAAGATGGCTAGATTCTTAGATTCAGCAGTTGTTTTTTTAACCCCCTTCCATTTGGTACCATTTTACAACCTACTGTTTTACCGCTACCATCTAGAGTGGCAATGTTTGGTTTTGCTCATCTGCATGAGGCTTCTGTCAGTCATTCAAATATTTCTAATGGTATAAAGTTATTGAATAAAGTACATTTGGTTTTTCAGCTTGATAACTACAATACCTTCATTAATAAACTATGTGCAAACCTCTTTTGGGAGGATGGCATGATTTATCATGATTGTCACGTCTCTAATCAGACTGCAAAACCATTTCTACTCTAGTTGCCTTAGTACCAAGACATCTCATTCATGCCTCTCTATAGGGTTTTCTTGCAGATACAAACTTTTAAAGCTACTAAAAATTTAATACACATGCATTCTTGTCGGTAACCTTGAGATGGATAAAATTCATATTTCTTTAGAAAATTTTATTCACCTTCAGGATTTTAATTTTCTTAGCCAAATAAAAGTCCGATGCATGCTGAATAAAGTAGCAAATATTTAAATAACAGCAAATTTGGATTCTCTTTTCATGGGTATGTATTTTACTGCATCACATACAATGTAATCTGATTCAGTGCCATATGTTGCACCCAGCCTTTGGGGATGGGGTGAGACAAACTCTGTCTTTCCACATCTGTTATACATTAAGAAGGCAAATACAAAAGTTATAATCACTGTGAGCAAAGGGCACTACCTATTGCCTTCTGCAAGAAGTTATTTGCTAATACATTTCAAGAAGTAAAATGACTTTAAAAAGTATTTCAAGATTGATATTTAGCACTATGATTTTTAACATATTTTAATACACAAGAATTCAGGAAGATGGTAAAAATAAAGCAGAGACTTCTAATATGGTGCACTGAAATCCAGCCAATAAAATTTAAAAATATGGTTCCCAGATGTATTAATATTAACAAAAACAGTATAGTTATATCTTTCATGATTATCTGTTTGGGGTAGTAACATCTAACAGTGGCTAGAACTCTATACGAAACACACACATATGTTACTTCATATATTCCTTAAAGTTGGTGAAGTAGATGTTTTATTTTCATTTAACAGATTTTTTTTTTAATGAGGATTTAGAACTTCAGAGTTCTGTCAGTAGCAGAGTTGGGCCTTAGATCCTCTTAATTTTATTTCCCAAATTATATGTTTTCCACCATTGCAAATTCTGATAAAAGCGTAAATGCATCCTAGCATTGTAAAAAAAGAAAAAGCATAGTGTCATGCGTATGGTGGCAGCTAATATTTCTTAAACTGCGGTCTATCGACTATGTCAGAAAGCTTATATAATATAGTCCCAACTCTAACCCAAGATACTGTCACTTCACCTCTTCAGATGTCCCCCCTTACGAAATCAGAATTTCAGTAGAATTATTTCCATACAAGATGGGTAGGTGATGAAGTAATTTTGGGGGCATCAATTGTTTAGAAATATGTGACTCTCAGTTAAAAAAGCATTTTTCAGGCCAGTCATGGTGGCTCACGTCTGTAATCCCAGCACTTCAGGAGGCCGAGGCTAGGTGGATCACGAGGTCAGGAGTTCAAAACCAGCCTGGCCAAGATGGTGAAACCCCATCTCTACTAAAAATACAAAAAAAATTAAAAAATTAGCTGGTCGTGGTGGTGGGCAGCTGTAATCCCAGCTACCTGGGAGGCTGAGGCAGAGAATTGCTTGAATACCAAAGGCAGAGATTGCAGTGAGCCGAGATTCCGCCACTGCACTCCAGCCTGGGTGACAGAGCGAGCCTCTGTCTCAAAAAATAAAATTTAAAAAAAAGGCATTTTTTAAAGTTTCTGTTTTCTTTTGAATTTGGAGAAAAGTATATAGTTACTTGTATTCAACAATACCTGGAAGAAAGTTGAAATTAAAAGTTGATAATTATTACAAATAAAACCAAAATGACTACTTCCACTGGGAACTCTCATTTCTCCTTTTTAGATTATGCCCTCTGTATTTTGTATCACCAGAGTCCTCCATAATCTAGAAAAACTATTCTACCTTACCTAATTCTCCCTGCTTTTCATTCGTTAAGTATTTTCACTATGATAGGGATTCAACATGTTAATACAAGGCAACTAAATATGTTTTTCTTCAGATGAAATGCAAACGTTTGTCATGTTTCTACTTAGGTGGTTGTTGACACCTCAAAGAGTTGTCCTATGAAGAAGGAAAAGATGTGCTTAGGGAAGCGTGTCCAAAAGGAAAAAGGATTTGTGGGCTGTTGAGGAAAATGACACTGAAATGAAAGAAATTGCAGAGGAAAATGACACTGAAATGAAAGAAATTGCAGAAAAAAGATTTCCTACTAACCACAGGGATGTGGAGGGGAATGACCCTATCGTTACACAGTGGTACCGTGGCCACTCTTGCAAACAGCCACCACCTCCCTCCCCACACACTTAGCATCATGATGTGGGATTGATGTTATATTTGCAAGGTTGGAGTTAGGATAGTCTGGGGCCTCAGTAAGGGTGGATGGGGTGATGTCTGAAACACAGGATAGCTCTGAAATGTTAAAAAGTCAATGAAACAGAGAACAAAGGATTTTTTGTTTATACTGGATTGTAAATCTAATAAATAAAGCAGATCCAGTTCACTGTAATGTCTTTATTTCTACATTATTTTGGTGATTCGGAGGGAATCATGGTTTCTTAGAGATCCTATCCCTGTCCTAGCACTGAAAAGCAGAATTTGAGTTCAACTGTGGGAGAATTTGGCAGAAGAATAGATCAAGATGAACAAAATTCCTGTTGGAAAACTTTCTCTAGGGCCTAAAACTCAAGTAATATACCAAAGCTTTAAAAGATGCATGATGCTCCAGGTGAAGTCTTCTGCCAAAAACAACAAACGTGTTTAAATTTGCCCTTTTCTTTCCTTCTCTTTATTTACTGGAATTGCCATGAATCATTGCTCTGTGAAGGATTCTATTCCTTTGAAAATTCAGGATATGGTGTTTTGTAAGTGATCTAGCACTGGCTCTTTCTAATAAAAAGTGGCATAAGAGAAAAAAAAGCAAACAAAACGAAACAAAAATGAAAAAAAGAAAAAAAAAGCATGATGCTCAGAAAATATGCCCACAAAGGCCGAATTGTCCTGTCTGCACACATTCATCTCTTTCCCTCCTGGTCATTCTCACCTATTCTGCTTTCTCTCATATTGCTTGACTAATTAAATCAAACACATACCTGCAGGAATATTTTCAGAATTGCTAGAAGATCAGGCATGATGCAAATAGAGCTGTTTGATATTCTTTAAATCCATTGATCAATATCCAAGAAGCTCATTTTGATTTCTTTCATGTCATTAGCTCAGGCACTCTTGTCCTGAGCTTTTCTTGCCCATATAATGCCTGGAACTATGGCTGCTCACACTCCTTCTTGGGCCTTAGAGACAACATTTGGAGACACTATCTTTCAAAATGGCCCCCTCACCACACCTTGAGAAGAGCTTTGGAGTTAGGACAGTTGAATTCAAATTCTCACTTTACAACTCATTGGCTGGTTGGCCTTATTTCCAAGTTTCAAGATTAGGAGAGAAGAGCTGGGTGGACTCTGTGGGCAGTGCTGGGAGCATGGTGGGTGCTTAGTAGGAATCAGAATCATTCCACCTTTAACTCCCAGATCCTCTCTATGAAGTACATAGTTCTCTGGTGAGTGCTCACCAAGCCCGGAAGAAAAGTGGCTTTCAAGAGGTCACATTTCCTGCGTGTTCTCTCTTCTCCATCTTTAAGATGCCAGACTGAAAAAATTCTCAAATCTTCCTGAAATGGAATATTGAAGTTATTTTCCTTTCCCTCCAGTGAGGCAGGTGTGCTTAAAATGCAGCCTGATCAAGAGACTGGACAAAAGATCTGGAAAAACCATATAAGTACTAAAATCTATGAACATGTCGCTCATACAAATTTATATTTCATTCCAAATATTATGATTTATTTTGGCAACCAAAGAACCAAAATACTTCTGCAACCATGTTTTATTTATTATTATTTTTTGTTTGTTTGTTTCTTTTTTTTTTTTTTTTAGTGATTATTTCACTGCATCATTTCTTTTATACACAGAGAATACAGAGGGGAGGAAAAAGGGAAAACACTTTTAACTAAAAGAGTTGACAGTTTTATTTTCACATTTCCCAATACAAATGAAAACTGCATCTTTTTGCCCCACCTCTCCCCTCCAAAACTATTCTCTTTGATCAGACAGGGGAGCAAGTCTTCCTTATGCTGTTTAGAAAACCCAGCATCACAGCAGCATGATCTCCTGGTGAAGCTGAACAGGTAATATAAAACTGACAGAATGAGGCCTCTCCTCTATCCTTATCTGTCTGGTCGAGTCATTCCAGGCCGAGTGGGCACCATCATGGGACGGGCAGGAGGTCCCATCATTGGGGGCCCAGGCATCATTGGCATATGGCCTCCCGTGGGTGGCCTCATTCCAGGAGCAGGTCCCACTGGCATCAACCCAGGAGGAGGAGGGCCCATCATTGGAATCATGGGAGGGCCCCCCCATATGGGGTGCTGGCATCATACCAGGGCAAGGAGGGCCCGGAAGACTTGGGGGAGGTGGTATCATCGCCCCTGCAGGAGGAGGAGCAGAGAATGGAGTAGGAGGTATCTTTCCTTGTTGAAATGCAGCCGTTGTTTTGTCAATCAGGCTCTGAGCCTGCTCTTCCATCCATTTCTGATAGTAGTCTTTCACATTCTCTTTGTGTTTCCTACCACTGCAGTGTGTCTTTCTCACAGATGGAGAGTCCTGGGTGAGGTATGTATCGCAGTAGTCACAATAAAACTTGGGCATGTTGCTCTGCAAGCCATTGGCCACTCCGTTCCGTCTTATTATTATTATTTTTTAAGGCTAGTCAAGCAGTGCAGGTAAAGAAGGAAGAAAAAATCTGTAACCGGTTATGATCAATGAATTGTAACCACCAAGGAGGTAGGACCAGCCTCCAACCATTTTTAAATAGAGAGAATAATAAACCTGTAAGAAGTTTAATGTCTTCATGCTGGTTGTGTCTATGGGGATGTTAACTTCCAGATTGATTCATTTGTTCTTTGAACTTTCAACTGGAATCACATTTTTATACTTTACTATTGTCCATTGTAAGTAATAATGAAAGAGCAAAGTAAAGAAAACAATTTTTACTGAATGTTATTTATAAAAGTTTGGCTCCCCAAAAAGGTTATTATTCATAGTTTAGGTCAGCAAGGAGAGACCACTTGAAAAGATATGTGTTCTCAATAAGAGCTGAATTTTTGTCAGAGGATCTTCTTGGTGTTTTTCATTTCCTAGGGAGTTCCAGAAGTACTAAAATTATATTGAGACAAAGTGTTTATGTTTCAAAAGTGCAGGCTCTGCATTCCAGGCTACATGCTGAGGGTTCTCAAAACAGAGGCAGCTTTTACTGAAACTGGGAAGTAAGGCCAACTCATAAAGGACTTGGACTAATCCATATTGGGAAAACAGATAATAACCAAAAACCTAGCTGAAAAAGGAAGAAACTAATCCAGGAGGTGACAAACTTTTCTGTAAAGGGTCCCATAGTAAATATTTAAGACTTTGCCGGCCCTATTATTTCTGTTGCAACTACTCAGCTCTGCCACTGAGGCTCAAAAACAGACATAGACCATATATACATGAATGGGCATGGCTGTGTTCCAATAAAACTTTATTTACAAAAGCAGACAATGGGCTAAATTTGGCCGTTGGGCTGTGGTTTGCCGACTCTTGTGTATGCCTAATAAAATGCTTCCTAACTAGTTTGAATTATCGTTCTTTGAACTTAATGAAATTGGTGGTTTGGTGGTAGTAGAAACTTAACTACTAACAAAGGTTATGTAAAATCTTACTACTATTCAGTCTTTTGGCTCAATCATTGTTGTCTTCATGAATCCACTTAAAATGCAAGGGCATATAAAATATATCAGTTCCTATTCCTCACTAACAATTAGCTTATTAAGTAACTGGGGCTGAAAGGGGCTCTAGGAGCTGCCTGAGAGAACAGAGTCCCTAGAGCAGGGAAATGGGGACTGAAAAGGGAAAAAGAGACACACAAGAGAGATTTTAGCCTTCCCTGACCCTCCCAACTGAAACAATTATTCAGAGGACCCAATGGGCTCCCAGTAATATTATTTTGTTTCTGCAATGGCTCATTCTTTAGGAATAAACTCCTGCATAAATGAGTGTGCATGTCCAGACAGAGAGAACCCACTTGGTTCTTGCACACCCATTCAACGAACATCTATTTTGCTGCAAGACTCCCTGCTAGGAATTGAAAGTAAGAAGGTAAATAAGACAATCCAGCAGGGAAAAATCTACATGTAATACAAGATGGTAGAGTCTGCAAAAGAAAGAACAAAGGGCCATTCTTTTTAGAAAAAGTTCCTCAAAATGCTGATCTCATTTCTCTCTTACCCACCCTCCCATTCATTCTAGTATGATGTATTGAAATGTTGTCCTAGTGCTAATTATCACATTTTTAAGGCTAGCATACCAGACAGTGAAAAATAATAAATATGGTTGGTAGTTGTTAATTTTGAAAACCTTATTTAGTCTTCGCTGTTTTCTCAAACATTTTCATTTTAGTTGCTAAAACTAAAAGATTTTAGGAAGTGTGTCTGTAGCACTAAAACCCTCTTGTATGTTTAACCTATTCACCATAAGCTTGATTTACAACTGGTTTCTTTGCTTGATGAATCCCACATGCCCCATAATTTAAACATCTTAATGTGCCTCTCACTGAAGTGCCTTTTTATTTGAATGCAAATTGGTTCTGAAACTGCTTCCAGTCAGAAGTTTGTGTTTAATATACTGTAGCTGAGAGTTGAGTATCATCTTATTAAGGTCAATCTGCAAAGAATAGGATTGAGAGTCAGTTGCTACCATAATTAACCTAGCTCAGGTTCATTTAACCATAAAATATACATTCTGACTGACTGTTTAACCTGTCCCAAATAAATGAACAGTGCAGAGCCACTCAACAAATGAAATGGTTTTTCATATAAATACCAAAGAAACTTGAGTTCATTTCTAAATTTGTGTAGCTTTTTTCTTCAGGATTTTAAGGGCTTTTCAGTGGAAGGGAAATGGGATTTTTGTAGCATTCTCGACCTGATAACCAACTAAATCTTATCTAGTCCAGGTAAAAAGATAGTGGCTTATTCATTCTGCTCTGCCTCCCAGGTTCAAGCGCTTCTTCAGCATCAGCCTCTTGAGTAGCTGAGACTACAGGTGTGCACCACCATGCCTGGCTAATTTTTGAATTTTTAGTAGAGATGGGGTTTCACTATGTTGGCCAGACTGATCTTGAACTCCTGGCCTCAAGTGGTCCGCCCACCTTGGCCTCCCAACCATCCTATTTTTTAAAAGTGCACTGGAAGACACTTAATAATCTCCATTTGTTGATAATTCTAGAATTTAATAATTTCTGCTATTGGCAATTTACAGTACAGATTTCAGCACACAATGTCAAATTTTGTAAAATATTTAGCTACAATTACGGATGTTATAATTTTCTCCAAGTATTTGTTCAGCCCTTTAACTTAAAACGCCAAGTTTGAAAGTACTTCAAATTTAAATTGGGCATCACCCTAGCAATTCTTAGTATCATCCCAGTTTTCTCCTTCAGGTCCAGGGAGAAAGGAATTAGCTTCAAATAACACCTCTACCTGTCCGTGTGCAAGTGTTAGCCCTCCTTGGGAGGGGTTAGACAGACTACAGTCCCCTTGCCTGACCCCCTTTTCAAAGCCACAGCCCAGAAAGTGGGGAAACATCTTGCAGTGATGAGAACAGGCTGACTAAAAAGGTGCACCAATGCATCCGTGGAGGGTTGGCCTGAGAGCCCAGGAAGCATCTAGGGCTCCGGAGCGGATGCTGGCACCCCGGCCCCAGTCTAGCGTCACCACAGCCAGAAGCCATGTTGAAGCAGAGTTCTTCCTCTAAACACCAAGCATGGTGATTTTGACCAGGTAACTAGGCTGAACCCTCATGAACAACTGCTTATTTGTCTCTGAAATTAGGTTGTGGTTTTAAAAATTCCTGAGGCGTGGCGTAGATCGGGTGTAACAATAGTTTCCTCTGCACCAGAAATTGTGACACGCTGCCCAATTCTTACCATAGAAAGGGAAGGAGAAACAGCTGCTTTAATGACATGGCAACTTTAAAATGTTAAGTAGTTCTTTGCATTTATCTTGCACAATTAATCTCAAAGTACATGTTGTTATTCATTCATTCAATGACAAGTCTTAACTGAGTGCTACTGTGTCAAATGCCAGGTATGGCAGTGGGTGGACTTGCAGTACATACCCTGCTGCAATGTACACAGAGGCAGAGGTGAACAGCACACAGGTGACAAATGCAAGAGGCAGATAGCACACAAGGGACAAAGAAGTGCTAAGAAAGATAAATATATTGGGTTGATGCAAAAGCAATTGTGGTTTTTGCCATTACTTTTAATAAGATGCAATAATAGAGAATATCAGAGATGGAGGTGGGAGGTGGAGAAAACCTGCTTAATAAGCGTAGTTGTAGAGTTAGAATCATTGTAAATTTCCTGAAGCAAAGCTTAAGGGTCCTTCACTTGTACTGGCTTCTTCTAATGCCCTGAGTACTTCCATGGTCATGTGTTTTCACAAAATGTGCATGCACATTTAAGGCTTTAATACATTATCTTCTATAAAAAACTTTCTACCAAATTGTATAAGCTTCAGGGTTCACAAAATCTGATTCACACTTAGTGGCTAGGGAAGACTTCTTGGAGGAGGAGAGATTTCAGTTGATTTTCACAGGATAAGAAAGAGCCTGCCATGCTTGATGTGGGGACAGCAGTTCAGGTGGGTTGAAGGACCATTTGAAAATTCTGAATAGATGGGGAATGGAGAAAGAGGTAGAAGGTAAAGTTGGAGAAATTAGCATGGACAAACATAGAGGGCATGTAGCCATATCAGGGAGTTGGTTTGTAGCAAAGTGATATGTAAAACTATTGGAGTTTTCTAAGCAGAATGACATGCTCAGATTTATGCTATTAAAATATTACTCAGACTCCACAGGAAGAATTGATCTGAGGTTAAGGCATGATTAGAGAAAGGATGCTCTTGCAGCATTTCAGGTGAGAGAAGATGGTGGTTTGGACCAGGCTGGTGGCAGTGTGTTACAGAGCAAAGTGGGCAGATTTAAGATACGTATTAGACTTTGAAATCATTGGACTAGCTGATGAGTTGAATGTAGGGATCTGGGAAAAGATTCAGATGACTTGAGCAACTTTCAGGCTTGAGGCACTGGGTTGATGGTAGTGCCGCTACCATCTAGGGTGAGGAGAGCCTAGAAAAAGGGAAAAGTTGGGTGTGTAGTGGGTAAGAAATTCTAATTCGGTTTTGGTAAGTTTGAGATACTTATTTGTTACTCAGCAGGAAAATGTTGCGTAGACAGTCAGATATATGAGTCTGTAACTTAGGGGAGAGCTATATGTAAAAATTTGAGTCACCAACATGTATTTGGTAAATATAACATATTTCTAAACTATATAAGTTTCCTAATTTTGTTCTTACTACTGGTTTCATTCCATAAGTTCATTGAGACAGGACAAAGCCTTTAAATTGGATTAAGTAGAAATGCTAAATTGAAAAGTTACTTTCAGGTGGAAGTACAGGATTCTTAGTAAAAAAAATATGTTGAGGGCTTGGTAGAAGTGTCTCCAGGGGGTTGCAATTGTCATAAAAAGTTCTATTAGGAATATTTAGAAGGGCATTCAATAATATAATGGTTATAGCTTTATATATATGTAAATATGTCAGTGTTGACCTCTGTGTGAAGGTGACATAAAAGGAAGATT